CCTAAATGTACTGTCGATAATAATAATAATAATTATTATTATTATTATTATTAGAAATATCCATGAAAAGTCCACGTTTTTGCTAATTTAATTTTCTGATGAATCATAGTTTTTAAGTTAATAATTGAATAAGCTCATGGCGAGTTCTATCTATAGGAATTTCCCTTTTCCTTCATTAAATATTTGAGCTTAAAAACTTTAACAGAATATTGATGCTGGGCGTTATTTTAAGAAGTAAGGGACTACAAATGAAAATATTTGAAATTGAAAACTTTTTCCATTTCACTAATACAGACTTGTATCTTCCCTTCTTTCTTTCGTCCTTTCATTTTCTCACTGAAACCAAGTAGCGTCTCTGATATGTCTTTTCCATCTTTCCACGCGATCAAAACGGAATAGTCCATTATTTTTGTAGGTATTGGCAGGGCGTGCCAATTAAGAAAGCGACAAGCACACGTATCTCTATCTATAAAAGGCAGGATGTGTGTGTGTGTGTGTGTGTGTGTGTGTGTGTGTGTGTGTGTGTGTGTGTGTGTGTGTGTGTGTGTGTGTGTGTGTGTGTGTATGACGAATGCACGGCCGCAATTTTCCACGTATTTGCACCAAAATTTACAGGCACGTGCTCCAAGTTAGCGGGAAGGCCAAAACCGACTTTGCATTTCCCAACTCCCATCGATAGTGGAAATAATCAATTTTTTCATGCTTCTACGGCAGTTTTCATGTAGTTTGCGGCCATTTTCTACTGGCCAGAGGGACAGCCAATAGCTTGCTGCCACGAATAGGCAGGAAGATTCTACTGGCCAGCGTGAGAGCCAACAGCTGACTGACACGAATGTTAAGTAGCATTAACGACTCATACAGCAATCACTATCACTTGACTTAAAATATTTTTGCCCTTCCTTGCCTTTAAAGGAGTGCCCTTTGCCGTGCTGATGTTGCTACATGCCTTACTTCTTGCCTATCTCACACTGCGAATTTTTTCTAAGCTCCATACTAAACATTAAAAAAGAACTAAACAAAATGGACACAAAAAATCAGCTTTAAAAAAGGACTCGTAACTGGAAAAACCGAATGAAAAAAAGAATGTTAACAACAAATACTTCTTCACACCCAACCCACTTCTGCGGAATCAGAATCAACGTTGAGTTTAAGCAAGCGAATGAGCCAATTGGAGTAAAGTGCCATGCAGATTTAAATTTTTCCCACTTGTGACGAATGCAGCTATCGATTTTTTTGCATGCTAGCATGCTAGTTAACATTCGTGTCAGTCAGCTGTTGGCTTTCACACTGGCCAATAGAATCTTCCTGCCTATTTGTGGCAGCCAACTATTGGCTCTCACTCTGGCTAGTAGAAAATTACATGAAAACTGCCGTAGAAGCATGAAAAAATCGATTATTTCCACTATCGATGGGAGTTGGGAAATGCAAAGTCGGTCTTGGCCTTCCCACCAACTTGGAGCATGTGCATGTAAATTTTGATGTAAATCCTTGGAAAATTGCGGCCGTGCATTCGTTACACACACACACACACACACACACACACATCCTGCATTTCATAGATAGAGATCTCCGAATGTACAGCAAGAGTACCGGACCAAATGTGGCAGCAATATTCAAAGCATGGAGGAATGGTGGATTTATAAATACGCAAGATAGATTTTGGAGAGAAAAATTGTCTTGTATGACACAGTGAACTGACTTTCTTAGCAGCAAACCTAACAATGGATCGAATATAGTCTTTCCACTTCATACGAGTCACTCTCATAGAGTTTAGTATCGGTCATGCTGAATGAAGACAGGAACGGCTTTTTTTTTATCTGATTGGCTGTTTTCCTTTGCGTGTTTCTTCGATTCAATAATGATTCTTCTTTCGTCCCGTTGCGATAAATTGTGTTTACGACTGAAGGTTGAAAACAAAGCATTCCTTTCAAAATACTGTTGATAATATTTCTTCACACGGCGCTGTAGGGAGGATCAGTCGTCTTCACCTTTGCACACATTTTGCCGAAAATAAAAACTAAACATAAAACTAAATTTGATCTCTTCGCCTCAGTCTGTGACAATGCTACTGAGCTGAGCTCTACCATTTGTCTAAAATCATTACTGCCATTAATTTCCAAAATAAGTAAAGAAAAGGTTACTGAATGAGGAATAACCAAAACGGAGGTTGGAAATGAAATGGTAATCTTTATAACATCAACAAAATAAAATACTCGCCAGCGGCGTGAAGTAGGTAAACCACTGCTAGTGGTGGACTACTTAGACAGGATATTACCCCCACTTACAATAGTGTCCAACATATTTATGAGGATTGGGACATACCAATTAGTGTTCATACGTACGGTACATAACACACCTCCCTTTTTTAGATTTACCCAGCAAAGAGTCAATATCTCATCCTTGTCGCCAAAATGTTGTAACATAGAAAATGTTTCTGAATGATGAATAACCAAAATGGAGATATTACTACCACTTACATTAGTGCCTAACGTATTTATGAGGAATGGGACATAGCCATTAGTGTTCGTAGGTACGGTATATAACATTTTTAAAATGTAATTTTCCGTTTTCTCCCTGAAATATCAGATTCTTAAACCTTTATATAAGCATAAAATTTATAAAGTGTAATATATCTAGAATTAGTATATAAGTATAATATATCTAACAAAAAAAGATCATTTAGCAAAGGATCTTCTTTGTGCCGTGTCCGATCATGGCTCTTCACAACTTCCTATCACTTTTAGCGCTTAGTAACGTCAATCATCACGCGTTCCCGTTCCGCCATCTGTTCACACTGGTTACTAGCTTCCTCTATTCTTTTTGGCTTCGATAGGTCCTTTGAGTGTCGAATTCGCCATATCCTCATTCCTCATTAGATGTTCCAGAAATCCCAGATGTCTTTTTCTAATTCATGGTATAAGTATCCTTTTTGTTTCCATTATCCTTAAAACATTTTTTTAAAAGTAAGAAAACTGACGTTTGTCAAATCAGGATACGTCTTTTTCAAAGAATTATCAGCACAATTTTCCTAAAACTTTTCGATGAAGTCACCTTTTTAAAGTCGATTTATGCCTGGAATATTTTCAAATGTGTCAGCAAAATAACTCGAACAAAATGAGTTTATTTGTCTAATTTTGTTTTATTCTCTCTCTCTCTCTGTGTGTGTGTGTGTGTGTGTGTGTGTGTGTGTGTGTGTGTGTGTGTGTGTGTGTGTTCTATACGCGGAATAATACTCCCAGGGTCAGAACTAAATCAGTCAGGCGAGCCACGCACTTAGGAATGACAGACAACAAAAGAATGATTTGAAAACAAATGTCGATTCTTTTATAGAGTTAAGCAGCCAGATCGATAAAAATGGCTAATACAGACGATGAAAAAAAAATAGATTTAGAAAAGGTTTCTTAAAAATTAAGAAAAGTCTGGTGAAAAGAATATAAATTGTATATTTGAAAATAGTCTAGTACTCTAATTATTTAAAGAAAAACTGAGAGCAAGAGAGAGAAAAGATTACTACAATTTTTATTTATTTATCTAGTTAGTTGAAGATAACTCCCAGATAACTTTCTTTAAACGGCCGATGGGTGGCCATTAAAAATGGCGTCGTTTTCATTCTCTTCTTTATTTATTTTATACACTTAATAGTAGAAAAGAAATTCAAATTTGGACTTGAGTGAAGATGAAAGAATGAATTCTGGCTTTGATTATAAAAGAAAATTTAAACTAACGTCTGTTGTTGAATACAAAAAAGGTGGATCGAAGTTTGATGGCGTATTCGATAAACAAAAGCAATGAATAGGAGCCAGGTGTCTTGAAATAGTGAAGAATCAAGCTTATTCGTCTGAATACCCTTTTCAAAATAATTGTTCAACAAAGGAAACGAAATTATCCAACTGTGACACAATGGGCTATGATCATCCAGTACTTCGAACACCCACATAGGGAAGTGGACTATAAATTATTTTTCTTATTCCTGGGGAGCCGGCAGTAAAATTGAGATGTGTGAGCATCAAAATAACAACCCACTGTCCACGAGTAGGGAAAAGTAAATAAATAAAAATTTTCGGGATCAAGTGCCGCTCGACTGGAAGGTATGAAATTCCGGTTGTGGTTTTAATATACTCAGACCGCATTCAAGATAAGCGCCAATCCCAAACCGTCCATCGAGATGCATAGAGAACAGTGAGAGCCACAGTCGCAGTCAGAGATGGGCAAACAGGCCATTGGAGTTCTCGCTGGCCGAAAGTAAAATCCGGTCATTTTATCTGCTGTAAGAAAAGAAGTAAATGGTTTGGTTTGGTTTGGTTTGGTTTGTTTTACGGCATATCAACCCCTATGGGTCAGTTAATGCCGACAACTTTTTTTTTTCCTGATAATATTTTTGTTTTGTCAAAAATCTATTTCTGTTAATATTTTTTTCATCAAAAATGTATAGCTGGTAATATTATTTTTTCAAAACGTATTACCAGAGGCCTTGCTGTTGGACGTAGTTTATCGTCTTACCCAGGACGCTGATGTAGTTTATCGTCTTACCCAGGACGCGGATGTAGTTTATCGTCATACCGAGGACGCGGACGTAGTTTATCGTCTTACCCAGGACGCGGATGTAGCTTATCGTCATACCAAGGACGCTGATGTAGTTTACCGTCTTACCCAGGACGCGGATGTAGTTTATCGTCATAACCAGGACGCGGGCGTAGTTTATCGTCTTACCTAGGACGCGGATGTAGTTTATCGTTATCCCCAAGACGCAGAAGTAAAAGGAAAGATGTCCCAAGAGTTACTTACCGACCTGCAAAGAATGTCAGGTGAATCCATGAAAAAGAACCTGGTATTGGGAAAACAGGAATCGTTGTTAATATCTTCTTTATTTTTTTCTTTTTCTTTTGTTTTTGTTTTTTGTTATTTTTTTTTTTTGGTGGGGGGGGGTGCCATGGTGATATTTTCTCATCCTATTCTTTGTGGAACGTACACTGAGCCTTCCCTAGTTTTTGATCATACTTATGCAAAATCGAATCAAAGCACAACGTGGATCAGATGTGAAAGACTTCCCGGGCGACCCGGGCCTATGTTTATACAACAAAGAAGTGTATAAAACACGCGGGCCAAAAAAAAATGTTGAAAAGAAACAGGTGTAAAAGAGCAACATAGAAAAAATATCTAAAGGAATGGCAGCCCGATAGGGAACAGTTTTACCAAAATCTTCCTGCTGTTTTACGTTTCTATATTTTATCGGGTTTATTTAAAGACCGCAAAAAATCACACTTTTGATAAAGATTTAGCCTGTTGGGTTGTTTTTTTTTATAACGACTCTCTGTCTAAAGGAGCTCCCAAACAAGAATAAATACGAGCTGCTACAAGAAAATGAAAAGAAGGGTGCCAAAATATGTTTACCATTTTTAAATACAAATCGACACCATAAAGATCGTCGGTTACCATCTACGAATATCTTCTGTTCCCCATTGGTGTGAGTCTGAACGTTTGTTGCGGCACGTGTAATCTATCTATCTATCTATCCAAGTCTTTTCATTATCTATCTATCTATCTATCTATCTATCCAAATCTTTTCATTATCTATCTATCTGTCACAGTCTTTTCATTATCTATCTATCTATCTATCTATGTATCTATCTATCTATCTCAGTCTTTCCATTATCTATCTATCTATCTATCTATCTATCTATCTATCTATCTATCTATCTATCTATCATCTTAGTACGAATATCTTTTGTTCCCCATTGGTGTGAGTCTGAACGTTTGTCACGGCACGTTTAATCTATCTATCTATCTATCTATCTATCTATCTATCTATCCAAGTCTTTTCATTATCTGTCTATCTATCTATCTATCCAAATCTTTTCATTATCTATCCATCTATCTATCTATCTATCTATCTATCCAAGTCTTTTCATTATCTATCTATCTATCTATCTATCTATCTATCTATCTATCTATCTATCTATCCAAATCTTTTCATTATCTATCTATCTATCTATCTATCTATCTATCTATCTATCTATCTATCCAAGTCTTTTCATTATCTATCTATCCAAATCTTTTCATAATCTATCTATCTATCTATCTATCTATCTATCCAAGTCTTTTCATTATCTATCTATCTATCCAAATCTTTTCATAATCTATCTATCTATCCAAATCTTTTCATAATCTATCTATCTATCTATCTATCTATCTATCCAAGTTTTTCATTATCTATCTATCTATCTATCTATGCTCCTAATATTTTTCTACGTCATCATTAGAGTCCATTTATGCAGTGAACTCTTCCGTTGACGTAGAGATATAATTTTATTTTATTTTAAAACAGTGTAATATCTTAAATTATATTTTAACGGGTTGAAATTTTGTAATTGCATTGCACTTATAAAATATCCAAAAACAGATTTCATTATATCTTTGTTGGGTTGTTATTTTACAATGGCTCTCTACCTGAAAGATCTCCCAAACAAGAATAAACACGAAGTATTATAAAGGGAAAATAAATGAAGGGTGCCAAAATACGTTTACCATTTTTATTAAATGCAACAATTTAAAGCAAATATTTAACATGACATAAAACATGGTTCTTACAATCAATGAGGTTTGAACTCTACAAGATTACTACCTTTTTAGTTAAGGTGAAGTGAAGTGGTCAATTACCATCTATGAATATCTTTGTTCCCCTTGATCTGAGTCTGGACGTTGGTTGTAGAATGTCTTGCTCTGACCTCTTTTCAGGACCGGATTGAGTCTGTGACAAGGTACTAGACTATTTTCAAGTCCATCTCGGTTATCAAAGGCCTTAACTCAACTCATTTATCTGCTCACTAGATGGAATGTTCTATCTAAAACCCTACAAGCCGTTTTCTTTTGTTTTCGTGTAAGATAATGTATGGTGGGTTTATATATAGTGTGTATAAAATTGTTCGGGTGCTTTCAATAATTAGGATTAATTTTCAAAGAACGGAATATATTATGGTTCTGAAATTCAAAGCTTTACTGAAAGGAAAAAAAAATCTGAGAGCTTTACTGTATTCGTTTTTCGATTATGGCGTCTCGTGCTCGTGTTGGGAGAAAGCAGTCCAAATCTTTTCATTATCTATCTATCTATCTATGTTTAAAATATTAGGAGCATAGATCAATTTTTTCGCTTGAAAATGGAACTGAACTTTAAAATTTTAAGTTTAATTTAAAATTTAGACTTTGGTTTCGAAACATGGTATTTCTCGTGCCGCGATGAATACATATTTTTTAAAAATAATTATAATATTATGCTCTACTGTGTATCGAGCACTGTTTTTAAAAATAAATATAAAAGAACTCTGGATTATAAATCTGACTGTTCTTTCTTTTCATTTTGATATATATATATATATATATATATATATATATATATATATATATATAAGTAAAAAATAAATACACCCCCATTTTCCAAACTCAAGAAAGCCCAAGAACGCCCAAGAATTAACAAGAGCGGTGACTGTCTGAAAAACTGGATGTCAAAATTGCTACAATTGAAAGAGAGCGAAAAAGTATAAACCAATAAGGAGAGAATATAAAGAGACTAGAAAAAGCAACGAAAGAGGGAAATAATCACGACATTCTAAACATACGCACAAACGCGAAAGCGGGCTCATGCACACACACGTGCACGCGTGTGCAAACGCAAACACACAAGCAAACAAACACACGCACTAAGAAAGGAAAAACATCAACCTTGCACCAATGAAAAGTTGCATATATAAAAGAAAAACGAGAAAATAAACAGTTAATTGCTGATATCCCCCCGACGATTGGACGGAGTGATTACAGGTGTGTCCGTCTACAAAATTTCTAGGGATGCTGAAGGTAACACCAATCATAAAAAAAGTTTGTATTAATTCTCCCTCTACATATTAAGTTTATAGATTCTTTTTATAGATACAAATATTTAAGTAAATGCTCTGTTTATAGTAAACAGTATTAAACAACATTTACCGGCCTGAATGTCCGAGAAATTTTCATAGAAAATATTCGTTCTCCGATAGGATTCGAACCTGTATGCTATACGGAACCGTCATATAGTCTGTCGCGCAAACCTTAACCGCTTAGGCCACAGAGGATCGATCGGTTAGCCATGTCGAATTTATTGCTTTTAAACTTCAATCATCCATGAATCTCTCACGTACATTCATGTCTGCTGAAATGCAAATAAATGACGTTACACATTATGAAATGGACAAAGTCCGAGAATTATTTTAAGACATTTTATGTTTATACATTCTTTTATATATATATATAAATATATATGTTGTAGTAAATACTACTTAGGATGTTGATAATACATTAAGAAAAATGGACCAAAAAGTTGTTCATAGAATTAGAAAATGACGATTTTAAATTCTACGGCCCATAATGAGAAAAGTAGGTTTGAAGATTTGACTCTCGCAAGACACATTGAAGGCAAGATGGACATAGCAAAAATGTGAGTAAGCTACCTAACGAGCTTGTGTAAATGGATCGCAGAACAGACAGGGATGTTTAATAAAAAGACAAACGTTGCTAAGGGGTACAAAGCATGGGAGTTTATGGAGAACTATGCTCGCCCTCATCCTGAAAGGACACGGTACCAAGAAAAACTTAATATTAGGTTGGTGCAAAAATAATGACGTAATATTGTCGTTTTTTACGTTAAAAAATACGTTCAAAAACGACATTATTACGTCATTATTTTTGCACCAACCTAATATCTCAGGTAGAGCTGTTACTGAGTCCAAGTATCGACTGAGGAATTAAAATTGCTTAAAATTCTGGCCGCAGCTAGTTGCCAGGTCAGATTACCATTTTCACGAAATTTTAAAAAATAATTTATTCAGGCGAAAAAGTATTGAAGCTTTACTTATTTCTACTTTAAACTTACGTCCACGTCCAGACCACATGTCAGTAGCGGTATTAAAAAGTAAAGTATTGAAATTCAACAGTGATAAAAAAAAAATAGCGGTAGGAATCGGGAAAGGGTAGGCAAGTCACATCAGATGCCAGAAATTCAAACGTTACATTTATGTAGCCTCACATTTTCGGCATCTCTATCGATGTATAATTATAGATCTGTTTGTATTTTATTCCCTCCCCCTACATATATATGATCCCAACAATAAAAATAGGTACCTCCATTAATTTGGTATACGTAAGGTTTAAATTGATTTTTTTTTAAAATGAAAAAACTGTCTTGAATCTTTCACTTTAGCTTTAATTGAAAGCTAAAGTATTTCAAATTTACCATCTCCAGTAAGCAAACTACTCTGTGGTGTATTTCAAACAGAAATTATATTGATCAGAATCGATTTTTTCCAGTAAAATCGATAAAAACGGCCATTTTGACACATTTGTAGACAAAAGTTAATTCTCGGATTTAATAATCTTGCAAAAATAAAATATATATTTCTGTAAACATCATTTGAGAAAAGTTAGCAAGTTTAAAGTTAAATCAATCTGATTTGAAGCATTTGGTCTTGTTGATCGATTTATTGACAGCCGAATGACCACCGAAAGTTGATTATAGTTTCCAATTAGAACAAGCTTTTATTAAGTATGAGCTTGACAAATTAACACAATTATTTCTTTCAACCCACATGATATATCGTTCTCTTATAGGCAAAATCAAAAGACATCTTTCGTTTTTTGATTTTTTCCGTTTTTCGAAATATCTAGCTAAATGCAGATTAAATTTCGAAGAGAGAACCTTTGCAAAGGACAATAATTACATTAACGTTTTAATCAGAAAACGATTTGGTTTCGAGAATTATTCTTTGGACAGGCATATAATTAACCTGTCTAATAGTAATCTTTCTGAGATAGAAAAGGTAGTTTTGTCTAGAGGTTTGGATTTTTGTATTCCCCCTCGAAATATAAACAAAGCTGAAGTTTTTGCTGAATTTGAAATTATGGTTTCGCAGTTGCTTCGTCTTGTTCCTTCTTCCACGGACCAATTCACATTTTGTAAATCAAAGATTTTGGAAACAGCTCACGAGTTTTTTTCCACACCAATCAAACGTGACATGGTCGCATGGCGTCGCGTTCATTATAAAACTGTCAAATCTTTGAAAACTCGTAATGATATCTACATTACCAAACCAGACAAAGGTGTTGGTGTAGTCATTATGAACAAGAGTGACTATGTCAATAAAATGAATGTCATTCTAGGAGATACTTCAAAGTTTCGCTTGATTGGTCCTTCCTCAACACATGACCGTACTGACAAACTAGAAATAAAACTGCAGAAACGGTTATTAGAGGTACATAAAATAATTTTATATGTAAAGATACCTACAACAGGATTAGACCTGTAGGTTCCCAAAGACCCAGACTCTATGGGTTGCCCAAAATTCACAAAAATAATGTGCCGTTACGTCCCATTTTATCTCTAATGGGTTCAGCACAGCATGAGTTGGCCAAGTGGTTATCAGAGTTAATTAAACCTATTTCTGATTATTTCTCAACCTATTGTGTATCTGACTCCTTCACCTTCTCTAAACTCATTAGAAATTGTTCTATTTCTTCTGATCACAAGGTTATGGTGTCTTTCGACATTGTAAGTCTGTATACCAATATCCCCCTCAAAGAAACAGCACAGATATGTGCTGATATGCTCTATAGAAGTTTCCTGGGTCCTCCCTCTATTCCTGAGCCCTTATTCTTAGAGTTCCTAACATTAGTAACAGAAGGAATAGAGTTTAGCTTTGAAAATATTATGTACTCCCAAGTAGACGGCGTTTCTATGGGTAGTCTTTTGGGTCCCTTTATAGCCAACATCTTTGTTGGATATCATGAGAGCATTTTATTTGGGAAATATCAAAAACCTTACATCTATCAACGTTATGTTGATGATACTTTTTCTCTATTTAATAACATAGAGGAAGCCACTCTCTTTTGTGAAGCGTTAAATTCCTTGCACCCGTCTTTGGTCTTCACTATGGAGGAAGAAATGAATAATTCTATATCCTTTTTAGATGTTCATGTGGAACGAAAGAATAATATTTTCATCACTAGTGTGTTTCGTAAAGAAACCTTTTCAGGTCTTTACACTAATTGGAACTCATTTGTCCCCATACCAGAAAAATAAATCTGGTTAAGACCTTAGTTCATAGGGCTTTATTA